GGTGGCTGCTCCACCACCTTCTAGTTCAGCTATTTTCAGTCAGTTTTGTGAAAGCAGGCTGGGGAGGGATGCAACTTGCTGTCTCTCACACAAACCTTTTTGTTAGTCAGCTTGTCTGTTGTCACCGAAGAGCTCCTGGTGCTACAGCTGCAGCCCAGGGCTCCTGCTCGTGGCCAGGGGGAGCACACCAGAGGAGTGTCCTGGGGTGGGAATCTCATACTGAGGGGAAACAGTGCTGTTCGCTTTCTCCCCACTCCTGCTGCTCGGCAGTAACCCTCCTTGTGTGGAGCTGCAGTCTGAAGCTGAAATGTGAGCAGTGACTGTCAGAGAGATGCCCTTCCTGGCCCTGCACGCCGGCACTGAATTAATGTGCATTGCCTGGCGTACCGCATCATATGCCACGTGGCAATAAGTCACCGAATTCCCCAATCCCCTGGGTTTCTTAAAGGGTAGAATTCGCTTTATCTCTTACAGCTTTGGGAGAGGGCGTTAGCTTTCAGTCTCATTGAAAATGCCCAAGTTGCATACCCTTGGCTGCAGGGGCCCATTCTGAAACCTTGTCTGTAACGTGGGTTTCCATGCTGCACACCCTCTTCCCAGGACTCCAGCCTGTCAACTGTCCTTGCAGACAGCATTTTGCAATGCCTCAGTGCACTTCCCATGGTGATACAGACTTCTTATTGACCAGGTCATTTGTGACCTTGCTATTGTGATCCCAGAGCTGTGCAAAACCTTCTAACTCTGTTAACAAAGTGCTTTGGCCAGGCATCTTCAATCTGTGACCGTGCAACAATGCAGCTGTATTCCTGATATTAGTAAGCTGTCCCTGCAGCCCCAAATCTTGCTTGCAGTAACAGTGCATGTCTGTGGCCGTGCAGCACAGGGCATTTTATTCTTTTAGCCCCACTATTCTATTCCCCATTAACCAGAGCACACAGCGACAGAGCACTGCTGTGGCTTTAGTTACAAGAGACCCTACAGCTCAACTCTGTTAAGGTGCCTCTTGTGACAGGCAGACATAGTCTGCCACCTACCCTGAGCCTTCACAGCCTCAGAGCTGCATCTCAGGCTCCGACTACTCTACAGACCTCTGCTGGCTAAGCAGTGCTGGTCAGGGACGCTGCATTTCTGGCTCCAGAGGGACTGCGAGGCTGCCTGTGCCCATCCGTGAGCGAGGCTTTTGGAACTGGTGCAAATACATAGTCCCTTTTCCCGCTGCTCTCCCTGCCCTCCGGCACAGATGAACGTGCTCAGCTTTCCAAAGACAAAATGTGAGTGCAATAGCTGGTACACGGCGAAGAGTTCCTTCAACACCAGAGCTCTCGCCACTCCCATGTGCTGCTGGTTTGGATTTGCATGTTATGATCTGTTCCCAGCAGCGTGCCCCACAGTTACTCATGGTGGGACAGTCCATAATGAAGGTAGTGTACAGAAAATGCCCTGATACCACTGCCTGCTCAGATTCCTGACGACAGTGCTCAAATGGAATAGCCATAAAGCTTTATGCTGCAGTGGGACCGCTCATCGTGGTGCAGTCTCATTTCCATGTGTTCTAGTAAGAAAACTGCTAGTTCAGAGCATGCATATGTCATATTCATTTAGAGTCAGTTAAGGAAATTGGCTTTTATTTTTTTGTTGTAGATCAGTTATTGCCACTTTGATATCTTCATTCCGCAGTTCAGGATGTCCAGGGTCTTTCCTATGCTGCATCTCAGAAGCACCTGAACATTATAAAAGCTGCAGCAAAGGACAGTTCCTTCCTCAAATAGTTTACAGTTGTAATAGACAGGGCAGGCAAAAGGTGAAGGAGCAGGGTTGCTTTTTTTTTTTTTTTTTTGCCTGCTGTAGATGAGATGTGAGGAAATAAAAGTGCCAGCTCAGGGTTTCTCTGGCATTCTGCTAAGCGTAAATGGGCACATGCCTCTGGTGTATATCTGCAAATGCTATTTCTTTTTCTTCATATTTGAAAGGTGGTGACCTGACACAGTAAGTAGCTGGTAATACGTGTTAGCTGGGTCAGGCCCTGAAATGGGTACTGGATGCTAAAGAGGATTCACTTAATCTGGCTGTGACAGGTCATTGCTGCAGTGACTGCAGGAGAGCAGGTAAAGGCACAGGCCAGAGCTACATAACAGCTCCTAGGAGGCTCCTGTGTGCTTTAGTGTGAACTGGTATTAAATGCAGATTGTTCTCCAATGTCTCCCTGACCCCCAGCCCCTTAAAAATCAGAACTGCAGAGCGTTTGCTTTCTGCCAGCCTGTAGACTGCTCCCTGTCTCCAAGAGATGTCCAGGATCCTGTTAGGATTTTGGGTACACCATCAGGCGGTTGGCGGGAAGACAACAGTCCTCCTGGGGTTTGGGAAACGGACCCCTTCTGGGGTCTGTGTGGTCCTTAGGTGCTTAAACAGGAGTGTAGAGAGGAGGAAGGTGTTCTTCCCACCCAAGCCAGGGAGCTCACCTTGGCATTAGAAGCTGTGACAGTCATGGAGAGATTGAAAGGACTCAGCTGCCTCAGGTACCGAAACAGGACTGGGGACATAATTTGATTGCAGGTAAAGAGACAATAACACACGCTTAAAATGCCCTGAATAGAGCTGAGGAAGGCATAACTAGAAGTAGCTGGACTCTGAAAGCAAATTCAGCTACAAAAGTGGAAGCGTTTCTACCGCGGGGGTGATTAGCCGCTGGGACTAGCTACTGAGGACCTCATTAACCCCCCCGTACTTTGATGCTTTAACGTGCTTTCCCACAGCGTTTGCTTTAGCCAGCTCTGTGCCAGGTTGCTGAGTAAATGGAAAAGCCTGTGACATACAGGGTGACTGAAGAGACGAGCCCCACGAGTCCCTCACACCACCACCTCCTGCATCCAGCCGGCTCAGGTGCCTTGCAGGGCACCTTGCTGCCTTGCGCTTGCTTGCAGTAAAACCCTGGGAGTTACCCACGCCTCGTTTCTTTCTCTCCCACTTCATGGGATGCGTGAAATGCAGTTTTTTAGCCTGGGACTGGGCACCCAGGGAGAGGGAAGATGCCGGTGGGGGTAGAGGGCTGCGCTTCACACAGCAGCCTGCCGCCAGGCCGGTGTCGATGGTGGTATTTTTGTGTGAGCCGAAAAGGGGGGGGGGGGGGGGTGCTGGGAAGCTGGTTCAAGCTTGGGAAAAACAGTTGGCATGGTTGTAATCGGGCAGGAAGCAGGAAACGGCGTCGTGAGGTAACAAACAGGAAGCGATGATGGCAGCGCGGCCCAGTTTGGGCTCAAACCCAAGGAAAGCGCTGCTCCGCTGCGAGAGGAGGCGGCGGGAGCGACGTCTGCCTCCACGCCTGCGTACCACTCTGGCCTGCCCAGGCGCTGCTTACACTGAGCGGCTATTTAAACAATAAGACAAGCCTGGTAAAGGCTTATTTGCACTTCCGCAGCTGCGAGGAGTCTGAAGGATATGAATGAGTCCTCGCAGCATCCTTCTGAGTCGTGTTAGCGTGAACAACGCCACCTTGCATGTCAGGAGAGGAGAAGGGGCAGCCAGCGAAAGGGAGGCTTTCTCAAGGACACGTAGGGGTTAAGCGTCCACATCCCGCTCCCTTCAGCGAAGCATTGCCTGCTTCTCAAATTCACGCCTAAGGATGCCTCTTGCACAGCCCAAACCGTCTTAAAAGGTGGTTGTCAGGTTTCAGTTAATGGCGTTGGCCGTTCAAGAGTCACCCTTCGCTTCCAGTTATTTCAGCCGCCTCTCCGGGGGAGAGTGCTGGAAGGGTCTACCTTTCTCCCCGAACCCTAGATAAGCCACATGGTTGGCTTAAACTAGACGCTTCACGCTTGGATGGCTGTGGTGAGGTGAGATGAACCTGCGTCTGCGGAAGGTGACTGAGAGCAGCTTGTGGAGCAGCTGCCCAAATGGCAAGGAAATGCTTCCTCCCCACGTATGACAAATGTGTGTCTGATGTAGGTGCTTTTTAACCGTGCTGTCTCCATGAAAAAGGAGCTTCTTTGTGATTACAAGCACGTGGGCATTTCTACCTGTTCCGAGGATGTAAGTGAACTCTGCATTGTGAATTGTATCTAGAGGTTTGGAGAACTTCAAAAACCTCTTTCTAAGCAACTTATGACAAATGTAAATATCATTCATAGAGGGGAAGAAAAGAACCTCTGTGATATAAGGAGACGTGAGTGGAGGAGAAGCTATTGATGAAGAAGCTAACAGCAGGACCTGGTGGGCTGAATTGAAAGAGGGGGTTAAAGTAGGGCTATTTCTTTTGTAATTATCATGCTTTTATCCTGTGTGGGTTTCTCCCCTCCCAATACATTTTGTTCAGATTGTCTCGTGTTTCTTTGCTGACAATCTTCCAGAGAACAAATGAGTTTATGGGCAGGAACAAAAAGGCTTTGGCAATGCTTTGGTATTTTCTGCCAATGCAGAAAATGTAATGCAAATATTAAACTGTGTTAATAGAAAAGGAATTTCAAATGCACGGTGATTCATATTTGCACCAGGAATTTTGACTGAGCTCACAAACCATTGTGGGAGCTGTGTGCCCAAGCACAGGGATTGTCAGGGCTCTTGCCTGGTGATGGGAATGGTCAAATCCTGTTCTGACTGGTGATGGCCTCTCCAGATGTAAATCCAACTCTAAGCAGATCTGTTTGGATGTTAAATATGGGTTGGTTTAACTTAATTTGTAAAAACAAACATGGTGCCTCTGTGACCTCCTAGGAAGGTAGTTAAAAACATCATCAACAAAACCACTGCGAAGCCAGACAAATAACAACTCAACAAATAAGTCATAAAGCACAGATAAAAGATATCCTCACCAAATAGCCTCTCCTCAAGCTGCGTGTTTCCCTCATTTATCTGTGTATTTACAAAACATGACTGTGAACAAGCTGCTGTTTTGTACCTTGGGCCTCCTCCCGGGAATGACCTGGTCCTTGTGCAGAGCAGCCTGCAGGGTGGGTTGGCTGCAGGGATGGATGGAGTCTGAGCATTGCTTCCATCTTGGTTGGCAGGAGGAAAGACACGATGCTTGCAGAGGAAAAGAAGAAGGATTAAGCCCTTCTGTGGTAGTTATGTGCTACACTGCTACCTACGTGAGAGGTGAGTCCGTTACTAATCTATGGTGTACGGAAGAGAGAAGGTCGTTGTGGGATCGTCTGTGTGATGCAGGTCATATAACATCCAGGGTTATGTTAGCTCCAGCTGTGGACCACTCTATTTGCCTTAGCTGTTAGGTCTTCCCTCTGCCATGACATGTCAGAAGCCCTGAGTGACCCAGTCAGTGGGGAGGATGGTGAGATGGAGGTTTGGTGGGCAGGAGTCATTTTCCAGTCCACTCCATGCCCTGCAGCTTTAAACTTCACCTGCTCTTCTTCCCGCCCAGGGGCACACTCCTGCAGTGTGGAAAGCTGCACAGAGCCTGTCACCACCGAGTCCCTCGGGGACATGTGTGGAGGGTTGCTGGAAGGCAGTGAAGACCTCTGGGTGGCAGTGACTGCCGGGGGAGCCTTGGAAGCAGATCAACATTGTGTCTCTTCCCCCTTGCATCTCCCAAGGGCTGAACAGCTCATCGAAGGGGATGGCTGATCTCTCTGTGGAGAAGGGAGCACCTCTGAGAATGTGATGGTCTGACATCAAGATTTAAAAAGGAAGGGACAGAGGTATGTGCTGGTCACCAGAACCAAATGCTGTGCACTGAACAATTGCTCTAGCGCTTGACATTATTGCTCTGTACACAATAATTTGCATGGTGAATCAGAGCGTTCCATCCTCACCCTGCAGCACGGCAGGCCACTGTGCTGCAGAAATATGCCCCAAAGCTGCACAGGGGAAGAGGAGCAAGGACGGCGATGGTGGTAACACCAGCAGAGGGAGGAGAAAGAGGAATGGTAGTTTTATGGTGCTGAGTCACACTGTTGCCCAGATTAAGTTTGAGAGCAGAGTGGGCAGGATTAGAGCAGGCTCAAGAGTGATCAAGGAGAAATCTCACTGCTGTGGGTGTCACTGGCCAGCAGGATCACTACCTGCAAGCTCTGGCAGCTGCGCTGGCAAAATTTAAACAGAGAGAGTGTGGAGGAGAGTAAATCTTGATGTTGACTCTTCAAAGAGGCTGTAAAATTGAAGTTATGAAAATAGTGAAGCGTGGCAGAGGGCCACTGAGTTATGTCGGTTCTCCACAACTGGAGTTTGGATTGTGAGCAAAATGTGCTGGGAGTGTCGTATCTGCTGCATAAAATCAATATGGTATGTGAGATAAGGGAATGACAGGCAAACACAGATACGTAACTGTCGCTTAAGTCACTGCAGTACCGGTCTGTTAGTGAACTGCTGTGCCTTCCTCATTTTAGCAAGGACTACTGAAAAAAGACTGAGGAGCAATGAAAATACCTGAAATGTGTTTTTATAGAGGTGGTTTCTTCTGTTGGACTAGATGGTTGCAATTGCACAATAACTAATGCAGCTTTTCTCAGCAGCTCTTTCAAGGCTGAGAGCTGTTGCTGGAGAAGTATCATGCATAATAAATTGCATTCTGCAATTCTGCAATGTCCCATTTTAGGCATGTCCTGTATTAAGCCTAATTTCTACAAGCACCCCTCACCTACACCAACCTAACTGAACTCTGTGCCCTGTGCTGTGTTTGCATCAGCACAGCCCTGCTGCATGTTGTCTCAGCACCAGTGGGTGCTATAGTTACGGGTATATCCCGGCATCTGTTTCCCCTAATCAGCAGACTGTTTAAAGAGGTAAATGATGAAGGGCTGGAGCCAAACACGGAACAACTCAAGTGAAGCACCCCCTTCACTCAATCCAGCTCTGAAACTGTTCAGATGGAAGGGCTCTGCGTGGCTGTGAAATAGTGTCTATCAGGTGCTAATACAAGGAAACACCAAAGCGTTTCTCAGTCAGGTGTCCATTCGTAAAATGGTTCATAAACCAGTTTTGTCACGTTGCTTTTAAGTGGGTTTCTGCAGTCTTTTAAAACTGAAAGCCAAGCTTAGGTGCAGCCCTTGAGCCAAATCTTGCCATAGTCAGTGCAAATTATGTTGAGAGAAGTTAGTCGTACAGTTGGGTCTGAGACCTCTATTAGCTTGTTAAGAGAAAAGGCATTATTTGTCAGCAGTACGTTGACAGTCCCAGCATCATCTGTCGTCCTCAAGAGGAATCTCTGAAGTCCAGGTTGAGTCTTTAGAGCCCAGAAGGATCTCAGAGCTCCTCCTAGTGAGTTCATACACGGTGGCTGGGAGATGGGCTTGCCTCGGGGCGGCGGGCAGGCTGATGAGCTGTCAGTGCACAGCAGCCCTCCGTAAGGAAATTTTGGGCCAAAGATGTGGGTTAAATCCAGGTCATATTATGCATTCAGCTAACTTGCTCCTAGTGTCTTTGGCAAGGACTTGGGGATGTGCACACGTGCATAGATTCACATATGCTTTCCATCTCCTCCTGTGTGGAAGCAGGCACCGCTCCTGTTTTTCCTGTGTAGGATCTGTGATCTATTCTGGTAGCTGCATAGTGCGGTACTGCCTCCAGTAAATATTCACAGATTTCCTTGTAAGCTGATGCCTTTTTTTCTTTCCTCTCTCCTGTGTGGATACACAAAGGCATGTGTTGTACCTGCTTTACCCTGTGGGATCTACATAATCAGGTCCATGGGTTTTAATGGATTTCAACTCCCTTCTGTCCACGGATACCGTTTCCTGTCTCCTTTTGAGCAGGAAGAGCCGAGTCTTTTTCGGTCTTAGCATTCCTGCTTGCCTAGGCTTTGGGAAGAGTTCTCTGGCTATTTTCCTGTTTGATTTTTGTGTGTGTTTTGTTTTAAGCAGGACAGAGTGCATGTGTGTATGTAATCCATGTGCTCAATTAAGAGAGGCATCTGTTGGGTTTATTTCACATTGCCGAGGAAGGACTGCAAGCAGGGAGCATCTGCTCGGCTTTTTGTCAATGGCTTGTTTTTCATAATTTGCTCTACAGGGTGAATGTTTGGGGAGGGGGAGGTGGCTTTTTATTTCTGAGTTTCATCTTAAATTTATTTTTATGGTAGCCAGGGAAATTGGCTGGGATTTGAAAGTTAGTTTCTCTAAGAAAAGAAGTGAAGAGGGGGAAACAAACCCATCCAAAGTAAATAGTATTTATGTAACCTTAATAATACACTCAGAAGGACCCTTATAAACCATTATTTGCAGTATTTTAATGACAAAGTAAAAATAGTTTGTTACGGTGCAGTTTTAACGCCAAGGGGTTTTTCTTATTATTTTTGTTTTGTTTTTTTTTTTTTTTTTTTTTAAAAAAAAACTAGCAAATTTTGGTTGGATTTTATTTTTGGGAAAGATAGGAAAAGCATCCAACACTAAGATGCTTTCTTGGCATTTTGTCAACAACAACAACAAAAAAAGTCTGGTTTTAAAATAGAGCAGCAGTGGTTTCCTGTTCTTATAGCTTTTGCTTTTGTCCATTCAGATGATGACTGTATTGCACCTAGCTGATCTAGATGGAGATTTAATTGACTGTAAATGTATGTGCTTCAGAGGCTACTAAACCTGCTGGGAGTGTTTTATACAAATGTGCTTTTTACACTTTTTTGTGTGGAAACGTTCTCCAAAAGGGCTGCGGAAGATAATGACTCTGTGAGATGCCCTGGGAGGACACGGCTGCTGGTATAGCGTAGGGAACTCGGGAGGAGAAAGCTTGAAAGTCCCCCTAATCCCACAAATGAAAGACAAATCTTACCCCTTGCCATCAAACAAGGATACAGTCGTGCAAGTCTAGATGTAGATGCTGTGCAAGTGCAACCTGAGGGCAAGATTTGGGTCTTCCTTGAAAGTATTTAAAGAAATAGGATTTTAAAAAGTAGTAATTGTATCTTGTTCTGTAAGCGAACCCCAAGCCAGCACATTTATTAAGCTGCTTTGAAATGGTATTAAATCTGTATCTTGCATGGCCCAAGTTGTCATGGAAGAGTGAAGCGTTAATAAAAATAACTTTCCTGACAGTTCAGTCCCACTCCATAGCAAGAGAATATATACATATATATATATATAATTCAAATATATGGCAATATAAATATGTATAACGTTTGTCAGACGAATGCCACTCATCTAAACAACTTTGTTGTCATCAGTTAACAGTATAACTCTTTTATAAAAAGCAGCCGGCAGCAGTTGGTGTGCAAAATGTAAATGTAGGGCTGACGGCAGGGAGCAGGCAGACAAGATTACTTCTGGGGCTTCAGGTAACCTCGGCTGTCACGGAATCATGAAACCTGAAGTGTAAAAGGACAAACCACAGAAAACTTCGTAGTAGCAGGAAAGTATTTTCATTGCTTGAAAAAAAAAATAAAATTCAAACTTTGTCATCACATTAAAAACATTACATGAGAAGTAATAAACATATTTACACTTCTGTTTTGATTATAAATATACATTATATACAAAATAATGTTATAAAACGTAGAAAGTTCAGTGCTTCTGATTCTTTTTTTTAAATTACTGAAATACTAGTCTTCAAAATAAACTACAAACAGACAAACTAAAACCCATATTATTGATTTCTGAAGGTCATCTTCAAAATGGTCCTACGTGGTCAGAGCAGAAGGTCAGTAGTGGACATTATGAAGGGGTCTTGTCTGCACAGTTCAGGGCAGTAGATGGGCTAGTCCAACAGGATTTACAAGGGCAGGAATATCGCTGTCCCAGAGATAGCACGGTCCAGGTTTCTTCGAAGAGATCTTGTTTCCTCCCTCCTCATTCTGCCCCACCCCACGGTCTCATCCCATTAGTGGCACAGCATTTTCCATTCAGGTGCCTGGTATTATTGCAGTATGTACGTATATAAGAAAAGAGCTTCTGCACACCTCTGGTTTCCAGGGGCAGGCTTCCCCTTCTCCGCGTAGCGTGGGTGGGTATGAAAGAAACAGGCTGAGCCTAGAACCTTCTAACTCTAATCTGTCTGGGCAGAGGGCGTCTCAGTGGGTGCTTCGCTACTGGGCATTTGGAACCGGGATGAAGGGCAGGAGTTGGAGTTTTGCAACCAGATGGAGAAATGGGGAGGGCGGGGAGGGAAGGTCACACTGCTGCTTCTCCTTCAGAAAGTAACAGCTGCAATTTTTAGACTATTTGCAGTAGAAGGTGGCACCTAATTCAGAAACACGACATAAACCCCCAAATTTGTGTCAAAATAAGGCCGGGGGGGGAGAGAATGAGGAAGGAGAAGGAAAAAAATAACGTCTATTCACAACCACTGGTAGTGCAAAGGGCATGAAAACCGCTGAGACAGCTCAGCACATAAAGGTTCTAGGAGCTGATTGATTTTAAACGCATTTGTAAGGCTTGAAATTGAGCTGGGATCACGCCTCCTCCTCGTGAATGGGGAAGAGGCAGTAAACATTCCTTCTCACAACTTTCCTTCTCAAACGTTTAAATCCACGAAAATCCTATCCCATACTGTGGCTTGGGTCAATCAGTTCTCCAAAGCATCACCAAATGCGATGACATGTAAATTCGGAATTCCTCTTCCCTTCCTCCTCTCGCCCCGGACAGAGTCGCCAGCACATGCAGCAGGAGAGAGGAGACGCAAACAGACGTGTAGCAGGAAATATCAACCACCCCTGCCCAATACTGTTCAGGTAACTGCAAAAAGAGCAGTCAAGTCTCTGTTTGGGCTTGTTAGATTCTCTTGACACCTTTTAGGCACTTTGAAACCCAGAAAAAAATGGAGACCTTGCTTATACTGTATCCATTATCTGCATAGCAATGTGTCTTTCTTCACACCTTCCGTGGCAACATCTGTGATAGTTAAGTGCCTCCTCATCTACCGGCACCTCCCATAACCAGAGTTCTGGAAAGCCAGGGGTCTGTCCATGAGGAACTGGCCTCAGTATCTTTTAAAAACAAATTAAAACAACAAAATGTTTAACCCCTCTCTCTTCCCTCTGCCTCCCCTCTTCTATAGCCAATGAGATTTCTGGTATCAAACTTCAAACAAGGGCAGTAAGAACAAAAAGGTGTATTGCATCTTTCAGTAAATTCACAGTCTGTCCAGTTCACCCAGTTCCATCCTCCGCCTGAGAGCAGCAAGTTGCATGTAATTAAAAACAGTCCAATCCAGTTCTGAATTGTAAACAATGCAGCAGGAATGTCCATCTACTGGCATTACCAAATCTGAGGTGCAAATGGGCTGATCTTCAGTCTTATACCTGTCGGGACATAAAATAACACCCGGAATGAGAAGGAAGCACAGCATACAGAGTATTACAGCACTAATAAATTGTAACTCAGGTATGCCAAACCAGAGCAATTCAAGCCAGACGTTACTGCAGTTTAACTATCAGCATTCAGTGGTTTTGGCTGGGTCCAGAGACAAAGAATCACCAGCCAAAACAAAAAAAAACAAAGTCATCTGTGTGATAAGTAGCCTCTCTACCTGGACCAAGGGAAAGAACGCTTACAAATCTGGGTGCTTAACGGTAGGTCTCTGTAAAAAGCGTATGGTATAGTTAAATAGCTCATGTTCAGAAACATTAGGACTGAATGATGTGGAGAGGAGTTTCAGGGGCTGTCATTCTGAAAATAAAAACACCTCTGGAGATGTCTGATGTAAATCTGGGAGTCTAGCTTTGGTCAGCAAGATCTTCAAAGGAGGATATGGTATTTAGGTCAATTAATGGGAATGAAGCATCTAGCTGTCATTGGTATCTTTGAAAATCCTTTCACTTAGTCTTAAACTTTTAATACTGTTGGTTGACTTGTGTTCCAGCTTGCCTTCAAGAGGAAATCTGATATCCACCCTGGCAAGGGAGACAGAGGCCTGCAGATCTGAGTTCACAGATCACTGCTACATGGCACGGCAAGCTTCTCTTTCCTGGAGTCTGAAACTAGTCCTAAAGATGGCTACACTGAAGAAGGCAGGTATTAGTTAATGTCAAATTACTTTTGACTTCCATTGAGACTTTTTCCAAACGCTCAGTAATTCTTCAGGAACTGGTTGGTTCCTCAATAGGTGCTTTTTAAGGTCTTTAAAGTCCAGCGCTAGGCCCTTCCTTTTTCGTGTATCTGTCCTCTGACTTTTCAATATAACATCAAAGTCTAGATGTGTTTATCAATAACTGTGTTAACTTCTGTTAAAGAATACATAGCTGGAGCTTAAACCCCAAGAGGCTGAAATTACCTTTCTACAGACTTCCTAGAGGGCTGTTACGCCTATCCACTAACACATTCAGCTACCTTCCATCTTCTGCTGGAAAGCTATAGTTTTGCCTGTTTCCACAGAACACAGATTACCCATTGTAGTCATGGGAAAAAATGTGGCTTTATATCAACAGGCCTATGAACGATTATAATTTGCATTTTTGCTGACTACGTATCTAAGAGGAAATAATCCTGCAATGTGCTGAATTTTAATGGGCTGATGTTCTGTGCTTTCGTCTCCCGCTGACTTATCTAAGCTCAAAATCTCTTGTTTAATAAAATCAGAGCTGCTAATTTCTTTATTTTCCCCACCGTACGGTCTGCGTGGGCCACAAAAGAGGAGAGGTGAGTGCTGTGAAGCATCGGGATCCCTGGAAATAGAGTAACCTTCTCAGATGCAATTCTAAAGGATAATTTACCCCTTTACTTTGTGAATTTATGCCTGTCCACCTGTGTACTTACTTACCTCTGTGGCTATGATGCACTCATTCCTTTCTTCTGTTATCACAAAGACGGATTGGTACATTGAATCCCTCGGGGAGCATATCGCTGATATCCTACATTCCGGCTTTTCACTAAGGCAGGGCAGAGAGAAAAGAACGTTAATTGACTGCTAACAAGCCTGACTCTCAACATCTACCATGAATATGGAGAGGGGAATGAGATAGCCCTGAAGGTGTGGGAGGGAAGCGCAGATGATGAAGTTTCACATGTTCTCTATGATAGCAGGACATTAGACTAGAAATTGGAAGTGAGGAATAGCTACTGTCTTCCTACGCTTCTGCCATGTCCAGCCTAATAGCGTGCTCCTCAGACCCCTCGGTGGAATGGTCACAAGCAGGTCCCAGACAAGCCTTTCAGTATGTGTATCAGAAGACTGATGAGCCAATGAATACCTGCCCTTTTCTTTTTTTGAAAAAGAGGCATTAGTTTTACTCTATCATTCTTCTCAGTAAACAAAATACTTAATCACTGTACGCCTTAACTGTTGTTCCTCCAAGATCTACTGAGGAAGGCAAGACCTTCTCACTTTCACCACTGACCTAGCCACTCCTGTCCCCCTTCGCAGTACCCATATTAGCAGCACCCTGCACAAACACTCGATTTAATTGACTTGGCTAAGGATACCACTTGGCTGTGACACACATACTCCCGTACGAAAATTCCTGGCTTTTCTCTCGTTTGTTATGTGTATTATCTGCTCAAGATTTCTTTTTTCCTCCCCATATTTTCTCATCTGCTTCTAGACCGGTATGATGACGAGGAGCCTTAAAGACTAGAGGAAGACTGCATTCTCACCTGTGTAGTCGGAGGGGAGACTTTTCTCCTAAACACTTTTCACTTTTGTAGTATTTATCTTCCTGCGTCCCTCTACTTGTCAGGTCTTTTACCAGATTGTAGTCCAGTTTATGATTCTTGGGTTTGTAGTTTGATTTCTCCAGTCCACAGTCCACTTCAAGGTCTTTATTTTTATTGGTGTTCTTGAGCTGGGACGCTGGAATGAGATTGTCCTTCTGGAAGTCAGACAGGTTGTTCATTGTCTCTAAGTCCTGCTCTGGGTGCATCCTCATCTGCCTGATGACCATGGCTATCATGCAGAACAGTATGAGCAAAGCCACCAGCCCCACCCCCATGGATATAGCAATCCAGGGGACTGGTTTAGGAGGGAGTGTAACGGGCACTGAATAAACTGGCAATTCGCAACGGTTGCCCATGAAGCCAGAAGGACAGTAGCAGACAAAGTTGGCACTATAAAGTCCGCTGTAGCATGTGCCTCCGTTCTCACATGGCCCAGAAGCACATTCGTCTCTGGTTTTGATGTCACAGTTCCTGCCACTGTAGCCTGGCAAGCAAGTGCAGGTGTAGTCGTTGATCAGGTCATGACAAGTTCCCCCATTGGAACATGGGTTTCTGGCACAATCATTGATGTTTATCTCACATTTCTGACCAGAGAAACCAGCCCGACAACGACACACACGAATCTGACCAAGGTAAAAGCAATTGCCATCTGAGGAAAAAAAAAAAAAAAAAGTAAAATAAATAAAAATAAAATTAGTCCATGTGCACTTAATTCAGAAACCTAAACTTCTCCCTGGTTAGCATTTTATACTATCTCAAGAAGAGGGAGGTCATTTTACAAAACAACCGCACGTCTAAAAGTTCCTTCTAGCTTACCCAATTGCATCACGATGCCTTAAACATATGCCCCTTCTAAATATGTGATAAAGTCAATTTAATTTACATAATTCTGCCATCTTTCCCCATCACAAGATAAACCCTGTGCACTGTTTTATTGCATAGAAAATGCCAGTGAAAGCCTCCCCCCCGCAGCAAAAGGCTAAAATTAGGGTAGATGTGAAATACAGTGGGGGAGAGGGACTGATGTATTAGAGGAAAAGTAGAGGTCAGATTGGATTTCTATCGCTTCTGCACTGAAAAGCACAAACAAGCCAGAGACACAAGGTTCTTTGATAAAAAGACTCACCGTTTGCACACGGGTTGCTTGTGCACCTGTCTACTTTTTTTTCGCAGTTTGAGCCTGTGAAGCCGAAGGGGCAGACGCAGGTGTAGCTGGCCCCTTGTTCTTTTTCCAAGCACGTGCCACCGTTAAAGCACGGAGAATCTACGCACGTCAAAGCGCTGTGCTCACAGTGAGTGCCGTAGTAGCCAGGGGGGCACAGGCAGTGATAACCGTTCTCCATGTCCTACAAAACACAACATTAGGCTACTGTTATTTGATGGCACCAAACGATAGCTGCTTGCACGCTTGTTTTCGGTCGGCAGCAAGCGCTGTTCGGTCCCTTCTCATCCACGTTCGGATGTGACAAAAGTGACATTTGGAGAGTAAATAACTGCAGGCTGGACTATGAGGGGCAGAGCTGCGAATGGGCCGTACTCAGCGTGTAGGAGTAAGCGTGTGGCTACACCAGCAGGGCAGATGCAGCTGGAGGGAGCCTGCCGGCAGCTAGACAAAAACATTACTACCACCACTGCTGACTAATGGGATCCCCTAGGTCCTCCCAGCGCAGAATGGCACGTGCCGAACTACACAGCGGCGATCAGGACATTTACCCTCAGCAAGAGAGCCCAATTTTTTGCTTCACGAGGGCATACGTTGTTTTGTGATGGATAAGTCCCACCACTTGGATCACAACAAAACTCCTTCTTCTTTCCAAGTACTGTACCTGCAAGGCCTTGGGAGAAGGGAGGTAGGGTCTTGCGCTACTAGCTCTAATCTAAGCCAGCATCAGATTACATTTGATATCTATAATCAATCAGTCTTTATCAACAAGTAGGATCAATCATTGACTGAGTCTGAAAACACACTGAAACACTAGACTGCGGGAAACGAAAAATGCAGGACCCTGTTTCACAGAAAGTGTTTCAGCTGATTGCCCTCATTCTGTCTGACACTACACTCCCATAGCAGAAAGCATAAGTTTTCTTTTGTTTGCTATTAAAATACAGACTTAGCACATTTCAGTATGAACCTCGGTTTGAGAAGCTTATTTTTTACAGATCTGCTCCCTCACCGACCTTGGATCTTGCCAGCCTCTCATAATGGCTGCCACAGAAACCTAAGGATCAGTTGACTGGTTCTAATCTAGATGATACATCTCCTCCAGTAACAGACTTCCTCCCCTGACACCTCTCGGGAAGGGTTCAGTATGAGAGTTGTGAGCGTCAGTAATGAACCTGTGTACTATCGAATTCCCATTATGTTGTTACAGAACCATGTCTGAAAAGGTATACTGTGGCTTGCTTCACACAAAGACTTTACATTTAAAATGCCCGTACCGTGCAACTACCGCCATTCCTACAGGGATTGCTGTCACACTCGCTGATCTCATGTTCGCAGTCAACACCGGTGAAGCCAGGTTTGCATGAACACGTATAGCTGCCCTGGCCAGTGTTCATGCAGGTTGCTCCATTTTTGCATGGTCTGTGGTGAGTGCAGTAGTTCAGATCTGCAAAAATACCAGGAGTTAGAGAAAACGTCTCTGACAGCTGGGAAAAATGCTTTAGCCAACAAAAAAAGACAGAATTTTCAATGAAGTATTTCAGCTTGCCATCAATAGGAATATGGGAGATGATTATCCAGGTTATTATCAGGAATAATCAGATGTTTCAGATTATCATCCGTTTTAAGTATTTCTCTATGTCCACCACTGTAATACGTGAGCTCTGAATTTTGAGAGACCTGGCAAAAATTTAACTTTCTTAGTGCTTTGGTATACTCCCCCTTTTTTGTGTGCATAAACCCGTTGGCTGCCATGGGATTTAGATGCCAAGTTGGAAAGCGTACTTTGTAAGCGTGTGCTCTCCGACAGACACGCCACAGCACTATGGAGACTTTGTGAGCAACATGTCACATACTAAAACAGTGAGTCCCATCTCTAAAAGGTGTGCTCTGAAGCACATTCTGGGGAGGCAGGAAGGAAATAAAGATGTTTTGCCTTAGAGATTTAAACAAACACTAGAAATCTTTTATTGTTTATTTACCACGCTCTCCTGTTATGAGTGTTAGTAGTTTAAGCTGTCTAAATGCTCTGCCAAGCTTGACGGTCCCGTTTGTTTTTTTTTTTTTTTTCCTTTAGAGACAGAGGTTAAGCACACAAGTTCATAGGACATAAGTAGAAAATCTTTATTATCTCTATAAATACCATAGAGTAATTGGAATACAACTGGTTAATAGATAACTACAAGCAGAAAAAAACCTGCAACTTTACTTTTCCTGCTTAATTCAGTCTTTGCCATCTTAATCCTATCACTGTCTTGCAAACACTTAGCTTGCTTTGAGCACTTAATGATCTCAGTGCCAGCAGTGCATATACGGCCTTGAGGACATGACTGCTCAGCTGGCTACAGTTCAGTGATTCAATGGGTTGAATAGGTGGAAGTGGTCTGGTGTACCTTAAAATGGAACCTGTACTTTTCATTCTTGCTTACATGATTTTTCTCTCATGCTCCAGACTTATCACATGAGTTAACTTCCTTGTATGCAAAATAAGGAAGGCCCAAATGATGGTGTTTACTGCTGCTGGAAACTGTTTAGTAAATTGTTATAGTTGTGCAGGGAATAAGTTAAACTTAGCTTGAGCAGGCAGAAAACTTGCCCGTTCAACACTCATCCAATCTGTTGGGTTTTTTCCTCCAAGAGAAAAACTTCGTTTTTTTTCTTTCTTTCAAGAGAAAAACTGCAGCTACCAAAAAGGTTTGCTTGTTTTCAGACAAAATTACTACAAATGCAAGAACTGGTATC